TTTATTGATTTCAGAGAGGAAGGGAGAGGCAGTGAGAGATAGAAATATTAATGATGAGAAAGAATCATTGATTTGTTGCCTTCTGTACACTCCACACTGGGGATCGAGTCTACAACCTGGGCATGTGCCCTGACTGGGAATCAAACCCATGACATCCTGCTTCATAGGTTGATGCTCAAACACTGAGCCACATTGGCCAGGCTATTCCTCCTTTAGTTTATTTACAATCCAATCTTATTGTCCTCTAAATTAAAGAATAAGCTAGAAAGACAGCCATTGCACCACAACAGTAGGAGAAATGTGGAAGGGAGGGATGGAAGGGGTGAGAGAGACAGAGAGAGAGAGACAGAGAGAGAGAGAGAGAGAGAGAGAGAGAGATACATTGATACATTGATGTGAGAGAGACACTTTGAATGGTTGCCTCCCATATGAGCCCCAACTGGGGCTTGGAATCAAACCTACAACCAGGTGCAAGCCTTTGACCAGGAATCAAACCTGTGACCTTTCGGTGCATGGGCCAATGCTCTAACCATGGAGCCACTCCGGCCAGAGTGGGAGGGGCCATCTAACCACAAATGCAAAAAGGGCCTTAGGAGTGACCTCCAGTTCCCAGAAGGCCTGTGGGTGGAGGCAGGACCGGCTCTTCCAGGTCCTTTGAAGTGACCAGGAAGAATGTGCTCAGAGCTAAGCTCCTCACAGCTCCACCACTGACAGTTTGGAGAGCTCCTGACTGGCGATCCATCCCTGAGGCCAGCTGCCCTGGGATTGTAGGTGACAAACTCCCACCTTAGAAACCCCAGCTGGGAGCCTAGTTGGACTGGTGATTGAGCTGTTTTTATTTCTGATCATTCCTCAGGCGTGGTGCCCAGGGGGCTGGTGAAGGGGCCCCTGGTATGTAGGCATCAGTTCTTAATTGCTACAAGCTAGAGGGGCCCCTCAGGACTCCACTGAGCCGCATCTACCCTGGTTCTGGTGCTTCTGGCCTGTGGTCCTTCGCTCTTTTTGTTCTAGGAACATCTTCCACCATCTGGGGAAGCAAGGGGTCCCTTCTCAGGATGATGTATTTAAATGCGAAATAAAACACATTGGATTGCAAAGGAAACCAATTATATTGAAAATCAGCTTTCAGAACATTTGAAATGATAAATATATGTCACAGTCATATCTATGCTGCTTTATTATTTTCTCACTAAATATCAAGATTCATGGCTTAGTCTAACTACAGCCACTACAAATAGTAATGAGAATAACTGATTTTAAGACATCTCCGACCACTGTCCTGTGACAGGAAATACCTGTGACTCCCATTGGTGACAGAGTGCTGTTCCCATGACAATAGCTTGTTGCCAATTTCATAGTTAACAGAAATGGTAGACAGTCCATGAATGTGAACCTTGTGAATCCTGTATTCAAAGCTCACGGCAGGAACTCCTGTACTAGACCCACCCAACCTCGTGGGAGCTGATCCCCAGACCCAATCTCCCTGGAACTGGCTCTCACAGGCCATTGGTTTGGAAAGGCCAATGTCCCAATTCACCTTTTCCACTTTAACCAGCGGATCTCCTCCACGGACCTGGATACCGTGAGGGCTTCAAACTTCCATCTGGACCGCAAGACGCGCTTCATCATCCACGGCTTCATAAGCAAGGGGGAGGAGAGATGGCTGACAGACATGTGCCAGGTAGGGCCCTGCCCCTGGCCCCTCCCCGCTGAGACCAGCACCCAGCACCCAGCTTCAAACACTTTCCATGTCACTGCCCCGAGACTGGGAACGCAGACCGTCCAGGGACAGATGCTCCTTCCTCAAATCTCTGAGGAATCTCAGGGTTCTCCGGACCGTCCGCTGTCAAGTTCTCCGACCCACAGACCTGTAGCCTGTCCTCTCTTCTGGAGACCAAAGGGACCCAGAGCCCAATCGTAACGCCCCAGAATTGGAGGCGTCAGCAAATTACCTGGCATTTGTCTCGGGTGGTCTATGTAAAGCCCCCGTGTGACATTAGAAACCAACGTAAACGAAGCCCCCAAAACCCTGTTGTCCCCCAGAACTCTCTGTGAGGGCGGAATGGCTCCATGGAGTCACTGTCCCAACCAGGAGCCACTGCTCCCCTGGGCTCACCCCGCACCTGAAATGCGGGGAGTGTGACCAAAGACCTGACTGTGAAATTGTATGGACTTTCATTCATTGTAACTAGGCACCCAGGGCCAGTGGCCACAGTATTGGATAGCCCAGTTCTGAAGGTTTCAGGAATGTTAGTGATGAATTATTATTCATAACATCCATTTTCTGAGCACTTCCTCTGAGCCTGACACTGTGATCATCATTTCACAGTTTTTGTCTCATTTGACTGCCCCCCCTCAAGTAACGTTGTGAGAAAAGTAGAGTTATTGTTCCCATTTTATAGATGAGGAAATTAAGGCAGGAAAAGGTCCACACTTGCCCAGACTTGAATCCAGAGGTGGGAATGCAAAGCCAGGTCTCCTGTCTATAAAATACCACAACCTTGTGTCTGTAGCTTTAGTCTTTAGAGGAGCCCAGGGGCATGATTTCAACTTAGTCTGCACTGGGGAGACCTCGGGCAGCTTCTTCCCAAGGGTGGGCTGCTCCTCTGGAGGTTTGAGCGTTCACACGTGTCCCCAAGTCCCAGAAGGAAGCCATGTGAACGTGGAGCTGGGAGAGCCAGGGGGACGTGTCCATCCCCAGGCCCAGGACTCCAGGCCACTCCTCCCTCCCT